GAATTAAGGAGGTATTTTGAAATTTTGGATGCGAAAATCAATGGCAGTGCTATAATATGAGCTAATACATTAGGCTGTTTTTTAACCAAACATAAGTAAAATTTATCCAGATTCAATGAAAACTGGCTTATAATTACCAGATCCAATTACAATATGCTAGTAATAGCAAAGGTCCATGTTAATTAATAAAAAAACAAATGTCTAATAACCATTAATTATTTTTAAATTAATGGTGTATTTAAAACTGATATTAAGTACCTTAATAGATTTTATTAATGATCATATATTGATACATTTTTATAATGTGTCATGTGTTGATACACATTTGGTATTTACTCCCACAAATATAAACTTGAATATTCATACTAGCTTATAATCTAACCCTAACCCTATTCCTAAAAATGAAACAATGAAAAATATTAATACTAGCTTATAATCTAACCCTAACCCTAAAAATGAAACAATGAAAAATATTAATACTAGCTTATAATCTAACCCTAACCCTAACCCTAAAAATGAAACAATGAAAAATAAAATTTTGTTGTTTTCCAAACATTAATACTCAAGTAGCTCATCTCAACATACAGTATTCATTAACACTTAGTGTCAGCAAACTGAGATGAATTTACCACTGAAGATAATCTTAAAAATAAAATTATATTATAAAGACAGCATCAATTATGATGAGATTAACTAATGTACTCCATTCTATCAGTTAACTAAATACCCAATTTTAATTAAAATTTCAATTAAAAACCCTCTACAGCAAGTGGTTCTGAACAAATACATATCCTTTTAATGAGTCTTTTTAAAAGACTCATTAATTTAAAGCACTAGTTGTAATTTCTACTCTTAACAGGTTTTCCTTTTGAATTTCAAACAGCCCCAATAAAGGGGAAATTAGCAGAAAATAACAGTTAAAATTTTAAAACAAAATTTAAAACCATAGCTAACATTAAAAACTTAGGATGCCTGGACTCATTTTATTCCCACAATGACAAGAGGTGGGTTCTATGATTACCTTAAATATACAATGGGGCAAATTAAGGTATAACCAAGTAAGGAAGCTGCCAATAGCTAACCACGTAAAACAATGATACCTTTTTTTGAAGCTCTCATGTAAAGAAAAGAGACAAAACTTTCACCTTCTATTGTCCTATTTATATTCGCTCTCCTGATTTCTTCCCACTGTCTTTATAATGAAGCTGCTCTGCTCGGACCACATAACAGTTCACAGCCATTTATTGTAGCTCGATGTGCCTTTCAATACGGTCTCCTTGTGTAGCCCAGTCAGCTGGATGCCAGACCATCTAATAACACTAGGGAAGTCAATTTAAGAAATGATGATTCTCTTGGGGCAGCCTGGTGTGGGCTGCCTCTGGCCCTTGGTTGCGTGGCTTCAGCCATTAAAAACTGAAACTTAAAGCATAAACTTGAAGTTTGAAACTTCAGCATCATCACTGATCAAATGGCGATGAAAGCGACTAGCTTGTAGATCTATCATAAGGAACAGGAACAAAAACTGAAAGAACCAAACCACAGAATAGCAAAATATATTTTTAGTGGCAGATTAAAAAGATACTGGAGAATAGAATTTTGAATCGAGCAGCTGAGTCTAGTGTCCATGACATTTCTATATTATTTTATGTTGTTTTGGCTTGTTTGTTTGGGGTAAACATACAGCAGTGCTCAGGGCTTCATTCAGACCCTGAGCTCAGGGAAACACTCACGGCAGACTTCGGGAATTTAGGAGGTGCTGAGGATGGAATCAGGAGCAGCCATGTGACAAATGATCTGCACCATTTCTCTGATCTCCAGTCTAGGATAACCAGAGCCATTTTTGTTCAATGACACTACAGTGGCTCATGAGAATTATCAAATTCTAAATATATTAAAATAAGAAAAATCTATTTGATAAGTTTTTCAAAGAGAAGACTTCTTATTTTTTAAGAACATATGTTGCTACTTCCACACTTTATATTTTTTAATTAAAAAATTCAGTGAAGCATAATCACTTGATCACTTGAATCCCGTCACTCATCGATTTGCTTGAGCAGGCGCCAATAATGTCTCCATTTGTCCCTGTCACATGCTAGTGTAGCCCAATGGCGTATGTTTGTTCTAAGAACATGAAGAGCCTCAAACTGATGGTTGAGGGTCTTGAAGAAGAAGTCTGACCATCTCGTAGGTGGGCGGCCACTCGATCTTTTCACATCCCATGGAATCCAGTTGGTAACGGCTCTAGTCCAGCAGTCATTTCCAAACCACATTATATGTGGAGGCCATCAATTTTTGATTCCTTGGCAAATGAGACAGCATCCCTGATTCTTGACCATCGATGGAGGTCGAAACTCCTCATTCTTTTTCTCATTTGAGTGAAGTGTGATACTCTAAGCATAGCTCTTTCGATTACTCTTTGGGAGACCCAAATAGCATTCTCATCCTGTTTTTTTTTTTATCCTATTTTTGTAGGGCCCAGGTCTGTGAGGTGTATGTTAATGCAGGAAGAACATTGGAATGAAGATATGTGACCAGAACTGGAGGTTCTTTGTTCTCTTAGCTATTTTTTCAATGCTCTTGAAGGTGTTCCTACCCACTCTCTTCCTCCTGTGCAACTCAGGTGCCAGGTCATTTGTCATGTTGACTTCTCAACCTAGGTACACATAATAATGCATTTGGAGATGTTCATTCCATTGAGAGAGAATGGAATGTCAAGAACGAGACTGTTTCTCATAAACATTGTCTTCGTGAGATTCAGCTGTAGTCCGACCTTTCCACACTCATGGTCGAAGTCAGCCAAAATTTTTGCCACTTGGCTGATGTTTGGTGTTATTAGAACGATGTCATCAGCGAAGCAGAGGTGGTGTAGTTGCTAACCGTCTATCTACACTCTCATACCTTCCCATTCCAGTCATCTCATGATGTACTTGAGGGTGGCACTGAAGAGTATTGGTGAAATGGTATCATCCTGCTGAATCCCTCTCTTGACATGGATGATCACTTATTTGTAGAATGGTGAGATCCTGGAAATGAATCTGTAATACAGCTCATGGAGGATCCTGATGTATTGTGTTTGAACACCACGTTTGGCTAGGGCTTCGATGACTACTCTTGTCTCAAAAGAATCAAAGGCCTTCTTTAAATCAATGAATGTTAGAGTGGCATCTTAAAGTCCCGAGAAACCTCAATGAGCTTGGTTATTGTGTGGGTATGGTCTATTGGGCAGAATCCTTTTCAGAACCCGGCTTGCTCTAATGGTTGTCCTTCATGTAGTGTTCTGCCAATCTAATTCAGGATGACTCGAGCAAACAGCTTGTAGATGATAGTCAATAGGCAGATCAGGTTATAGTTGCCAATATCGTGTATGTCTCCCTTCTTGTACAATACTACAGTCCTGCTGGTTTTCCATTGGGACAGAACTTTGCATTCAGACGGGTAGAATGTGAAGAGCCGAACCAGTGTATTGATGAGTACCGATGACAGATTCTTGAGGTGTTCTGGTCTGACCTTGACTGGGACAGGTACTGTTTGATTCTTTACCAATGAAATTGCGTGTTGGATATCAGAAGGGAGAACATTGAGAATGATATATCCATCCAGCGGAATTTGGTACATTGGCAGATGGACACATCTATCGAAGAGATCCAAGGAGAAATCATGGATAATCTTCTCCAGTGCCCTTCTGGAAGATGTGATAGATCCATCAGGATGTTGGACGGCAGTCATCTTGGTCTTGTAGTTGGTGAAGTACAGGTGGGCCTTGCAAATGCTTTTCTCGGCTTCTGCCGCATCTGCCAGCACTGCTGCTCTTCTCTCTTTGAGGTCTTCTTTTATTGATTCTCTGCACTGTTTTTTGAGCTCGGATGTTCACTTGTGGTTGCCCGAGGCTTGCACCAAGTCACTTTGGTGAATGAGCTCAAGAGTTTTCGAAGACAGGCGTCTTTTTGTGGCTATCTCTCTCTTGGTGTTCCTCACACAATCATGGGAGATGATGTGTCAATCATATCCTTGTCAACGTTTTCAACAATAGCATCTTCCCATATTGCCGCAATAGTGCCAAAGAGCTCCCACTTGGTGGTAATTCTGGGAGTTCTCTCATATTTTTTCCCCATTATCATTTATCCCTTTTTTTAAAAAAAAAAATAAAACGGGAGTTCTCTTCTTAAACTTTTCAGCCCTTTCTCTCCACTCTGCAAAGTAGAATTCTGCACGAAGGGGACGGTGGTCTGATCCCATTTGAAATTTTGGGACAACAGCCACTTCGGTCAGGCAAAACCATTGATTGAATATGATGTGGTCAATTTTGTTGTGGAACCGTCCACCTGGAGACTCCCATGTCCAATGTTTAGATTCGGCCTTCTGGAACTGTGCATTACCATGCACGGTCTTGGTCGACATGATGAACTCAGATAGTCTCTCACCCTGTTCGTTCCATTCTAGGCCATGTGTCCCAATGTGGAGTTCTTCAGCTGATCTTCTTGATCCTATCTTGGCATTAAAATCACCAACAAATCCAGTGTCAAATATGGCGTGGTGTGATTGATGCTGTCTCGTCTTGGTCAGACCATTGATGTTGTACAAGATCATGTGAAGCATGACAGATTTTATTAAATAAAATTTACTTAGAATGCATGAGGTGAGAGAAAGAGAGGTATGGGCATCTTCAGGGTACAAAAAGAATATGTGCTCAAGAGAGAACCAAGGCTTGAGAGAATAACCCATTTTATACTCTTTTAATAGGGAGCAAAAGCACTTTTATATCAAAGAGCTATATGAAACCTGAAATATCTGTCAAACTCATTTTAGGAATAACAACTTGAAGTCTAAGGAAGTTAGGTTATGTCATAAGTCTTAATGTTCTGCAAAGCTGAGAACTAAAATCCAGCTCTTCAAGTTTCCAAATATATGTCTCTTTTATTTTGAATGAATAACAAAAATATATATTATGCTAAAGTTTAAAAATAACTGGAAAATACTGAAGGTTAATAAATTGTTCTTACCTGTAGGAACCATACATAACTTTCTGACAATCAATTAGCAAAAATTTCCGTTCCATTTTTCCATGAAATTTTGATCCTGTTTTTGAAAGATAATCTTGGCCTTTTACTGTCCGTACTCGAATATTCTAAAATTTTAGGCAAATATAAAGGAAAAATTATGGATGGAAAAGGGACATCATGAAAAGAAAAACATGTCATATAAAACATTTGAATAAAATGTATAGTTGAAAAATATAACAGAATTAAAATTTTAAACAGTGAAAATTTGAAACATTATCAAGAAATATTAAAAAACAGTTGCTAAAGTATTTGCATTAACACAACTTCAATAGTAGTTATTAATATATATACACCAAGTGATTTCCTACATTTCTTAGGCTCCTTATGAAAGAAATTCTTTCAGTTTACAGGGAATGATGACCAAGACATAAAATAAAAATCTATCCTTATTTTAGAAAATTAAATGATTTACTTAATTCAGAGTTGTTAATGCTGTGGCATACAAAATTGAGGCAAAGTTATTTCAGCAGTTGATGTACTTCACTACCAAGAAAATAACATTATGCAACCTTTAGGGATGTGTGTATTTCCAGCCAACTTCTAGAAGCACAAAAGGTCTTTTCTGTGATCAATTCTTTTACTACCTTAAATATATTCTATTTTTATCTTTAAATGAGACAGCTTCACAGGACCTCATTTTGACTGTAATAAACATTGCACATAAAATGCTTAAGAAATAGAAAAGATGATATTCTTACCCTGAGCCGCTGAATCTGACAACCCTGTTTCTCTGTCATAGCTAAGAAATGACTGAAGTTGTATTCGTCAAGCAGAATGTATACAGATATGCCACGAAGTGATGATTCCACCAGTTCTTTGAAAATGTCTATATCTGTAAATATATCCATCGCCAACGCAATGACCTATTAAGGAGAAAATTATAAAGCAATTGAAGATTATCAATAAGTATAATAAGTTGCTTATTTTCAGGAAGATTACAGAAAAAATAAGTAAATGAATAAAATATATATATAAATAAGTATTTTGTAAGTTTTCCAAATTAGAAGATAAACTGTAATACAAGAATTTCATACATATTTGTAACATTAATTCATATGCAACTATTAGACAGACTGACCACATACTCACACTATATTAAAAGGGAATTCTAAACCTTGCCTTGAGTCAACCCATCTTAAATTTGGTGGGGAAGAGATCATAAGCAATCAACACAATTAACAGGTACATTGTATAAAACACTATAGGATGATACAGATATTTTGTTTCGGGGCAACGTCCAGTCATACCTGGCAGTGCTTAGGGATCATTCTTGATCCGTGCTCAAGGATCACTCCTGGCAGTGGTTAGGGGGACCATAGGAGGTGTTAGGGATCAAACCCATGCCAGAAGAATGCAAGACAAGAGCCCTACCCACTGTAATATTCATTTCTCCTGCCCCCAAATGATGGGCTTAGTGGAGAGAACACCAAGGGACAAGAGGATGTAACAGAAAGGAGACTCGGGGAACAGAAAAGATAGAATTTGTTCGATTCTAAGTAAAAACAACATAGTAAACAAATGGGTATGTTCATGCATGTGAGATCCTACTGCTAAATAAAGTAACACAAGTGATAAGAATCCAAGAGGTTAATTAATAATATATGAATTGTCACAAGTAAAATACAGCTTAAGAGAAGTGTAAAGGTAAAAGGTAAAGGCCCTCCCGTTGATCGTGGATTTGCTCGAGCGGGCCCAGTAACACCAAATAAAGGGTGTTGTGAAGATCCATCCGCCCAGGATGGAAGATGCATGTTGAAAGTAGACTACAGACTGAACATGATTGCCACTCAATGCCTCTTTTGAGAACCACAGCACCCAAAAGGAGAGAGAGAACAAAAGGGAATGACCTGCCACAGAGGCAGGGTGGGATGGGGGGAGGGGGAGTGTGGGAGGGATACTGGGATTAGTGGTCTGGGATTAGTGGTGGTGGAGAATGGGCACTGATAGAGGCATGGGTACTCGATCATTGTATAACTGAAACCCAAGTGCAAAAATTCGTAAGTCTACAACTGTACCTCATGGTGTTTCACTAATAAAAATTTTTAAAAAGACATTTTAAAATGCAAAAGAAAAAGAATTCATGTGAATTTTAATATAATAAAAATATGGCATGTATTTTAAAAACACCTATATGTGGTTATAGATAATAAGCTGCATTGTGATATACACCTAATATTATAATAGAAGGGCCAAAATTGCAACAAACTGATAATTGTTGAAACTGGCTGATGCTTTCATGTTCTATATACGAGGCTTTTTACATCTGAAAACTTCCATGCCACAAAACTTAAATAAGTAAAGGAATATTGGATACTAATCCTCACGATGGAGAGTAAACCAGAAGTAAAATGAAAGCAACAGTCAGGTGGGGATATGTGAATTTAGTTTTCTAGGCTAGGCGGTTACCTGGCAACTATGACTTTGAAAGGCAGTCCATGACGGAGACAGGACAAGACCATGGGGGAAGGAAAGAAGCTTATCTTTAGAAGGATCTGTGCCATGTACACTAAAATTGCTAGGAGTTAAGGTGGGAATGATGCTGAAAAGAGGGAAAAGGTTCAAGAAACAAAATCATCAAAAGTAAAAGGGAATGTTATGATTAGAAATTAAGTAGAAGTAATGTGATAAGGTAATGAGTGGTGTCTTAGGAATGCTAAAAGTTAGCAGAGTCATACATAATATATTAAATCACTGTATTTTACTCTAATAAGACATTTTAGCATGCTACAGAAACATTCATAAATTATACAAGTTGATCACATTCTTCATTCTAGCTTTGAAATTCACTCCAGATTGTTTTTCTAGGAAAACAATTTTACTCTAGTGAATTCAACAAATTTGATGTTTATTTTTAAACTCTAAGATGCTATGCCAGAGTGATACTATGGTAGGCAGGGTGTGTCTTTCATGTGGACAACTGTGTTTGAATCTCAAAACTCTTGGGGTCCCCCAAGCCCCACCAGGAGAGATAACTGGACGCAGAGCCAGGAGAGTAAGCTCTGAACACAGCCAGGTGTGGCCCCAAACAAAATGAAACAAAAAGAAGATGCAGCTCTTGATAGCGATCTCCCCCAGGTCTCATGAATAGTCTATGAATAGTAAACATGTGAAAAATATTCAGTCACATCCATAATTAATTAATGCATTTACTACACATTAAGGAATGATATGATTAGACAAACATGATAAAAAGAAAATTACCATATTAAAACATATTTTACAAAATTACTCTTAAAATAATAAGAGTGTTTTTATATTAAATATAAAAACAGTTTGGCACTAACCATTTTTCCATTAAGAAGCTAACTATTTTGAATAAAGAAACATATCACCATATGGCAATCTTTTTTATTTCTGATTTCTTTAAAACACTGTGGTTTGCAAAGTTGTTCACAATATATTTATTTGTGGCGTTCTGTCTTTCAACACCAATCCCGCCATCACTGTGAACTTCCAACATCATAGTCCCCAGTTTCCTACCCACCTTTCATGTTCCCTCCTTACCAGGCACAAAATAATTTAGTTTATGTTGCCTCTTACAGCCAAATGGTAAATGGAACATTGTATTCTTTAAGAAACTAATTAATATATCTAGAGATTTTGTTTTTAATTTGATCTGAAGTCTGATGTAACAAAATACTAGAAGCCAGGAAATGAGCAAAACCACTTTAACAAGATAAAACTGTTTTCAAAAAAGTAACTGAAGTCACTCAACCAATGGATGATTGTAGCACACCAAAGAAAGACCAAAGTGAGTTTCTCAGCTCTGCAGCCAACAGTCTGGGCCAGGATCCAGGAGACTAGATCACACATTTTTGACAAGCTTATCTGATTGATGTTCAGGGAAGGTTACTAGGGTGTCTGGTTTTCTACTTCAGATCATGAAATTTATAAATTCACTTCATATACTAAATATTATAAAGCCTGTAAAAATTTCATTTGTACCAAGAATACAAAATGTAGACCACTTATGGTGGGTTATCTTTCTGAGAAAGTTAACTAGAAATGAGATATCTCAAACCTGATCTGAAGGTATTACACTCCTAAAACCTACTGCGCATGTGACTAAAATGACTCCATAGTCAAATAAAAAGTATATATTTCATTACTAAAAATATTTTCAAAAGTCACATAAGTTGATTCTGATAACAGAAATGAGTTACATTACATGGTATTGCTTAAAATATATTATTAAATACAAGTTAAATTCTATTCTTGCTTTGATATTGTTATTCTAAGCCTGTAAAATGAAAATAAGTAAATATTTTTATTCACCAGTAAGTGTAGGCTTAAAAAACAGGTAGAAATATATTGTGTTGTTTATAAATTTTGAGTGAACTTCATAACTTCTAGTACTTTCAAAGAACAGAATCAAGGACAGTGGTTTTCACTTATCTTTCAGTAGCAAATTTTCCTGATAGATGGCCCAGAAATTGCAGGTCATGATGCAATAAAAATAATATAAATTCTGCCACTTTATAATAAGTTCACAAACATGAAACCTTAAGGCCATTCAGGAGAGTATATCATAAGATGCAAATACACTGTAATTGTATTTCGGAGAAGCACTGTAGCACTGTACCACTGTCCTCCCGTTGTTCAGCGATTTGCTCGAGCGGGCACCAGAAATGTCTCCATTGTGAGACTTATTACTGTTTTTGGCAGCATCAAATATTCGAATATCGAATACGCCACGAGGAGCTTGCCAGGATCTGGCATGCGGGCGGGATATCCTCAAAAACTTGTTAGGCTCTCGGAGAGGGAGGGAGGAATCGAATCCAGGTTGGCCTTGTGCAAGGCAAAAGCCCTACCTGCTGTGCTATCGCTCCAGCCCATACTTCTGAGAAAGAAAAAAAAAATATTTCATGTGTACAGAGCTCTTGGAGGTAGGTAGGTTATAAATGAAAAAGATGAACAACGCTTCATGGGTATATCTTAAATAATGAATAAAGATTAATTTAATCACAAACAATGGAAGACTTGCGTTATAAAGAAACAGAAAGCAAAGACTATTTGGAGGGGGGCACATCCAATAGTGCTCAGGAATCACTCCTGGTGGGGCTCAGGAATCATAGAGAGTGCTGGATTTGAACCCAGTTTGACCATGTTCCAAGTCAATACTAGATTGTACTATCACTCTGGCCACAAATAATACTTAAATATGCACTAAATTACTCTAAAGCTAAACAGAAATATTATGCTTAAAATATGGAATAAATGTAGTTAAAATTAATAATGTATCACTGTAGCACTTCCTCCCATTGTTCATCGATCTGCTCAAGCGGGCATCAGTAACGTCTCCATTGTGAGACTTGTTACTACTTCTTGGCATATTTAATATGCCACAGGGAACCTACTGGGCTCTGCCGTGTGGGCGGGATACTCTTGGTAGCTTGCTGGGCTCTCTGAGAGGGAGGGAGAAATTGAACCCGGGTTGGCTGTGTGCAAGGCAAACACCCTACCTGCTGTGCTCTCACTCTGCCCTTATCTAGAAAACCTGACACCTATTTAGAATTGATCTGAAGAACAATATCAATCCTTTATTTTTTACTTATTTTTAATTGAGTCACGGTGAGATACACAGTTTCAAAGTCGTTCATGATAGTTTCAACTCATACAATGATCTGTACAACACCATACATATGTATATAACATGGGTACATCCATACAAAACCAGTGTCCGTTTCCCACCACCAATGACCCCAGATTCCCTCCCTGCTCCCCCAGCATACTCTATGGCAGCCTCTCCCTCTCTCTCTCTCTCTCTCTCTCTCTCTCTCTCTCTCCCCCCCATCCCTCCCACATTCCTCTCTCTATCTCTCTCCCTTTCTCTCTCTCCCCTCACTCCCTCTATCTCTGTATC